TGTCTTTGGTTTATACTGCCTCTCTGGAAAGATCTTCCCCCATCCCTTCAGGAAGGCTCTTTTCCCTTCCACCCCGGTAGCCTTTGCCTTCTCTCTGTCCCTATGTTACCATGTAATACGAGGTACCGAATGCAGTGACAGAGTATACTGGGTTACAATGATTTGTGTGCTGGTTTCTCCATTATAGACTATGTTAGTATTCTATCAGTTCCTACCCTGGGCCTGGTACATACTAAAAATGTAGTAAATATGTATGGAATGAAGAAACAGAAAAAATTTTTTGAATCACCCACCATCCATTCCAAGTTCTTGCCAGTCACGTTCAGTCCTGAAGGTCTCCTGCCCTACTTCCTAGCCTGCCTTTTCCCTCACAGAAGTGGTGTTATGGCTCTGAAAGAACCAATCTTATCATGAACACCCTGCATCTCAGCCTGGCTCCAGCACTATGAGCTGTGAGGTCTTTGGCAAGTCACTGAATCTCTCTGTCCTTGCTTTTTCAGGTACAAAATAATAATAATGTGGTTGTAGCCAGGGTTAAATGAAATAAGACGTAAAAGAGCCTTTACACAATGTGTGTCACAGAGTGAGTTTTCATCATTTATTGATCACTAATTATTGTCTTTTGTTATAAATTTAAGTTAGAATATAGCTGGAAATGAAAACAGAAAACTGTCATGCAATTAACTCTGATTATTCCAATCATCCAGAGAACTCTGTTAAACGGCTTTTATTTTAAGCTCTACTGATATCACTAGCACCAGAGTAAATAAGCCTGTTAATAAAAATAAAATGAAGGAAAACACCCTAGCCTCAAAGTCATTGCCAGTCATAAATAACTTCAAAGTTATTTAAACGAAGATATCCTGCCTCCACAATGGGGTGCTGTCTATAAATCAGGAAGGAAAAACAAACAAATAAAAGGTCTATTAATGTGAAATGCTGACAATTCTGTGCTTTCAAAGGCCCTGCAATTGTTAATTTCAGAAGCTGTACACATTCATTGTCTCCCAAACCCCACAACTGGAGGAACATGCCCAAAGTTTTGAGGGTAAGTCCAATCACAGTGACTTTAGAAATGGACGCTTGAAGAATCGAGGAATGTTTTCATGTCCAACAAAGAGAAACTGTGGCTGTTCTTTAGTGAATGAACTGTAGTCCTCCAGGCACCAAAGAGCTTTTAGCATCTCACAACTTGGCCATGGGAGGCTTCTGAAAGGATGCCTTAGTGTGATGCTGCCATCTACAGCCGGAATTTCCCATACGCTTTGATAAAATAACGAAAAAAATAGCAATTCTAGGCCTATCCGGTCAGCATACATTTTAAACAATCTTTCAAGCTGCTTTACTGAGTAAGAAGGTGCTCATTAGTTCCAAAACGATTTGGGGCTGAGGTTTCTCTTGGTTACCAAAGGAACACATTTTTGTTTCACTTCAAGAGAAATCTCGAATGGAAGAGTCCTCCACCTCATATGAGTTTACCCAAATTTCAATGGCACATACCTCTCTATTAGGATGGCATTACTACAGAAATCTTTTTTAAAAGAATTATGTTTGTGTACTTGAATGATGGTGTGAACTCACTGCAGAGGGAAATTGAGTGGAGTTGTGAAACAGTCACACACAGACAGGATTTGGCCCATGTGGTGCGGATGCCAGAATGTCACAGTATTATTCCTCCCTGGCTACTCTGTGCCCGTGGGGTTTGCTTTCTTCTTCTCTCTCTCTTTCTCTTTCTCTTTCTCTCTCTCTCTCCCTCTCTCTCCCTCCCTCTCTCTCCCTCCCTCTCCCTCCCTCTCTCTCTCCCCCCCATCCCTCTCTTTCTGTACCTCTCTCCCTCCCTCCTCCCTCCTCCCTTCCTTTCTTTCTTCCTTTCTTTCTTTTTTTTAAGAGACAGGGTCTCACTCCGTCACCCAGGCCGGAATGCAGTGGTGTGATCATAGCTCACTGCAGCCTCAAACTCCTGGGCTCAAGCTATCCTCCCATCTCAGCCTCCTGAGTACCTGAGACTACAGGCACTCACCACCATGCCAGGCTAATTCTTTTATTTTTTGTACAGACAGGGTCTCGCTATGTTACCCAGGCCGATCTTGAACTCCTGGCCTCAAGCAAGCCTCCCCTCCTTGGCCTCCCAACATGCTGGGATTACAGCCACCATGCCCGTTTTGCCCTCTCTTGTTTCGACAGCAAGCGGAAAGAAGTAAGATAACAGCAGAGGACATCAGTCTTTTTTTCTAGAAGACAGTGCTGCCTCAGTAATTAGTACCCAGCTAAAATATAAACTGCATTATAAAACACAGAACATTTCCATAAATAACCAACTGATTTTACAAAAATGAAAGTCATGCCTACCATTTTCAGTCTCTAACTTGTTTCCATGTTTAAGTATTTGATCTCTGCTAACTGCCCCATGTTTTTTTTCTGAATTTTTCTTAAGTCTCATGATGAGTCATTTTATTTTCCTTAAGCTAAGTTTGCTTCTCATGTATCTCATCATTCACTGAAAAACAAAATAACAAAAATCAATGTGCATAAGGTCTCTAAAACTGTATAATCCCCATTAGCTTATTTATACTTTCATAGTGTTTCATGTATTTTACATTCACAGTTCAACTAGTTTCCCAAATGTAGATAAAGATACCATAGAAAATGTATAGGTCATATTAAAAATACTATTTAATAGTTTTTTGTGTTTCCCAGTGATAGAACATATATTAATACAATTACTTGATGTTATACAATTACTTTTGGTCATAATAATCAACCACATAACAAAAACACTCTTTCCTCTCATTCGGCAGATGAGCTAAATAAGGCATATAAGGGTTAAATGACAGATTCAAGGTCATCTCAAATAATCTGTACAGACACTTACAGTAGAGGTTCTTATCATTCAGGTCTGTACTAAGGTCCTGGCAATACTATTAGCTCTCCTCTTTTTTTAAACCTGTCTAGCAAGAGGTTTACTTCAAATTTTTCATCTGCAAAATAAGTTATAATTTCTCAAATTGAATAATAGGAGAATAGTTTATAATAACCCACTCCATTTCTAAGACAACTGAGACGCCTTTTTGGAAAGCTTACTGAGTGTAAAGTAGAAAAGTTTTTATTTAAACTTACAATGGTAATATTATGCTTTTATGTTAGTACATATTACTAGAAACTCATTCAGTATAGTAAGTTACTTAGCTTGTTTATAAAATAGTTAAGAAAAATTACTAGCAATTGTATTTGCAAAACAAAGGCTTAAGTAGAAAAATCTAGTTAACTCCTTCATAACTGATCTTCTGAAATACTTAGGATAAAATATAAATATCTCGATTATTACTTATCACTTTGAATCATACCTATGCTTTCTCAAGATATAAGCAGTTTTGGTTTTTTCATGGCTTGAAAAGACAATTACTAATCCTCTATCACCTTCATATATTTTTCTATGAGCATATTTTTTAAATCATCCATTGGAATTATAAGTCAAGAGAGGGAAGCAAAAATTTTAAATAATACTTAAAATAAATTCAAAAACCTATGAATTCTTGCAAGCAACTTACTCATCTTTTGTCATATTATAAAACCAACACACATTTATAATATTTTTTATGTAAACAAAATATTTCTGAGTAGGATTTGGTAGATGGTAGATTTCAAGTTGAACTGAAAATATGCCCATAAAATATATCCAGTTATTTTATGAACTCTGAATGGCATAAATTCTTACAAAGTCTTGAATGAAAAAAAAAATCTATATATAACATCAAATCCAATAAACAGAAGCAAGCACTAGGTATATTGTCCAGACATTTTCATTTTAACAAACATCTATGGTGATAGTTGTACAATTCTGAATATGCTAAAAAGCCACTGAAGTATACACTTTAAAAAGGTGAATTATATGGCATGTGAATTATATCTCAATATAGCTATTATTTTAAAAAACACATCTAACTAAATATTTTGTAAGAAAATCCTGCTAGGAAATAACGTATGACTGTTTTTCCTCCTAGGACCATATTTTAGAGTATACACAAAAGTGAAATAAACAAAGTGTTAATTGAAGCCTAGATAAAGTGATGCTATCTGTTTAGAGTAAGATATTTTTTGTGCTGTAATTACAAGCCTTACATTTTGATTTCAAAGATTTGTGTGAAATTCCCACTGAAACCAGTGACCATTACACTACAAAGCTTAGGGTATAATTTGGCATATTCTGCAGTATATTTATATTTTTAAAGGATTCTTTGTTAGAACTTTCATCTGTTTTTGTTTAACTGACAAAAGGATCATGCAAAGGTTATGTTCTCATCGTGATATTTTCTTTAAAGTAAATCTGGATAGAAACAAGAAAGTTCCCCCAGTATTGCAATACAGATTTGAACTCACTGAAAGTTTTGGGAAATAAATATTACAGGCGCTATTCATTTGGATTTTGGAAGGAGGAGGAGTTAGAAGAGTCATTCCTTTCTGAAAATACAGTTCCAATAACATCAAGGATGCTTCAAACCAGAAGCACTTTAGAGATGATCTGGTTAAACCCAATGCCCTCCTTAAGTGATTTGTCCAAGGTCACCTAGCAGGTTACTGAAACAGCCAGGTAGAGAATAAGTTTCCTAATTGCTAACCAAAGTTTTTTATCCTCTCATCCCCTAAGACCAGCCAGTCCCCAACCTTTTTGGCACCAGGGACTGTTTTCCTGGGAGCCAATTTTTCCATGGATTGGTGAGGGGAGGTGTGGTTTTGGGATGATTCAAGTGCATTACATTTATTGTGCACTTTATTTCTATTATTACATTGTAATATATAATGAAATAATTATACAACTCACCATAGGTTGCGGACCCCTGCCTTAGACTACTATCATCTGGTGAAAGTAAAAATTTATTAGGTGTTCTCAATTTTTAAAACTTTGCATATAACATAATCCCATATATGGCAGGTACTTGAGAAGTATTTTAAAATTATGAATGATTTTCCATTTATTTGTGCTGTTGTTTTTTTTCCCACAGAACACTTTTGTGAGGTATTTTGTAATTCATCTCATAATGAAGAAAAGTGGGCATAGAAGGATTAAAGGGAGGTTAAGGAAAGAGTCAAACAGCAACAACCTCCTTCCAAATTCCACTGTGCCTCATGAAATCTCAAGAGAGTTTCAAAAATCAACTATCTGAATGAGCCATGAAATGAACACTATCACACTCAGCTAGAGAGTGTGTAAACTGAAACAACCATTCTGGAAAACAATTCCAGGATTTCTCGCAGAAGCCTTGAAAAAGTTTTTATAGTTTAACCTAGTAAGTCTATGCCTGGGAGCCAATTACATAAATATAAGCCAAGATCTAGAGATACAACTTTGCAGAGAAATATTCATTGCAACAGTATGCATTATGGTAAGAAAGTGATAAGTATCAATGAGGGAATAATTAAGAATGCCACAGTATATTCATTTGATAATTATCTCTGTAGCTAATAAAAGCAAATTTAGAAGACCTTAACACAAAACATATCTGATGTGATAGAATGTGAAGTTTAAGAAGAATATAAATGGCATATATATTTTTTAAAAAATTAAAAACCTGCACATAGAGAAATATAATGGTTGTCTTTGGGTAGTAAAGATATGGTTTTTCTTATTCAAGTTTTTAATGAAAAATGTGTATTGTTTTTATAGTAGAAAAAAAATCTCTAATAAATATTAAAACAAACATCATATGAGCCAATCAAAAATCAATCAAAAAACCAGCCCAGAAAATATAATTAGAATCTCTCATTGGAATGAAGTATATGTAGGCTTTGGGTTCAGATTCCTTTCCGCTCTGTCACATTATCCAATGCTATCATTTCTCAGTTGTTGCCAAGTGCTTTACCTTATAAAACCATATATGATTAGTGTCTAACATAACATATAGTTCTTTGAGAGTCTAAAGAATACCACTCACTCTAGAGTTTGTAAATACTTCACTCTATTGATTTGCTTAATCAGACTCTCCCAATTAAAACCAAGCTGCACATGTTTCCTAAACCTAGTTCAGGTGGAAAGTCTCCTCTGGCTGTTTCCTGAGAGGTTTTCTAATTTAAGTCAGTCCCTCTTTTACTACACATGGTAAAGTCATTTTTTTTCCCTCTCTTTTGTGCAATGACAGCATCTAACCCCACACAGAAGCAGGAGGGGACATAATCCCTCATCCCGCTAAATCCCCAACTCACCAAAATTGTCCCACATAAATCTAGAAAGATAGCAAACACTTTCAAGGTAAGAGCAACTGTCTAAAAAGATAATAAAACATTGTTTTTTTGTTTGTTTGTTTTTTAAGCAAGAAAACAGGCTCTCGTGAGCTATCAGGTGAAAATTTTCTCCACTTAAAGATGAGAATTTGTTAAGGGGCATTTCAGAGTTCCTGAGTCTCACCTTTAGTGAACTTCCCCCTATTGCTCACACTTTGGAATGGGACAGCCAGAGAGAAGAACCCTTTATTCCTCTGTCAGCGTGATTCATGTTCCAACATCTGAAATGAAGAGGATCCTTTCCTGACTAGATCTCAGTAAGACAACCACGAAGGCAAACTGACAACCTGGGCTTCTGCTGTCAGAGATTTGCACATCAATCAAAGAGACTCCATATGGCATCTGCTTGTAGTGATCTTGTCACTTACCATCAACATCACATTAAATCCTTGCGGTAAAAAGGGGTTCGTTTCCCCACATTCACAAACAGATGATCTCTGATTTCATCCCCAGACGGCTCACTTTGGGAAGACAGCATGGTGCAACAGTGTCTCCTGCTGCTGATTAGCGTGGTGACACGTGGGCATGGCAGGGACTTACTCCTTGGTAGTCCTCAACTTTATTCCAGTGTATACTTTCCCTACATTCAATTAAAGTATGCTTTGCCTTTTGCATTGCTCATTTCAAAATGTAAAAATAGCATTTGTCTCCGGTATTAGAACTCTTCTATTCTTTAGCAATTTTTCACATGCTTTTGATCTTTCCCATGTTCACTCCCACATTCACGCTCATCACTCCTGCCCTCACCTCCACAAAGCAATACACAATGGCTACTTAAACTTGGAGAACGGGGATATCAACAGAAAAATCCGAAGTTTAGATGCCAGAGAGAAAATGACTGGTGTCAGGATATATCCTGATTGTTTCACAGGTTTGGCGCCACATGCAGTGGGAAATCACGCTGGACCTGTGCCACCACAACCCACACAAGTACTAGCTGGCTTTTTAGTATGACCTCAGAGCCTTGATGGAAGAAAAATCCATGTCTGGGAGCAATCACACTTGAGCATCTATCTTCCTCGGATGTAATTTTGTGAATCTGAAGTGATAAAAAGAAGTTGTGACTTTTGACATTACTGAATAAATTCTGAGGCACTGTTGGAATCAATCAGGTTACTTCTTTCCCTGAAATAAATCCAGTATGTTTACACTCTTACCATATGTCAGAAGAATGCATTTGGAAATCTCATGAATGAGTTATTTAAAAAAAAAATGCAAGAGGGGGAACTCATGTAGGAAACTGCACAGTGTTTGCCCCAACTTTTTTTTTTTTTTCCAAATTCTGGTCATTTCTCTAATTTTTAAGAACTGGGGAATGCCTGATTTTTATTGTCTCTTGTTTTAGGAAAATTTGACAAGCAGGACTGAAGCCATCTGAGATGCCAAAGTTACTGTCTTTGAGTGCAAAGATAGTATGTTACACACGTGTTCACAGATAGCTTAGGAAAAATAATTACCTTCCCTGGTCTCAGAGTAACTATAGTACTGAGGCAGTTAGGGTGTAAGACGAAGTCATAGTCTATTAATGCCTCCCACTCCCTAAGAAGCAAAATAGCTCTTTGCTCTAAGACTGACTGCAGATCTAGTTTGCTACCTCTTTTCTCTGATCACTTATTGTCTATTTTGGCATGTAATCATGTCCAGTCTTAAATTATTCCCTAACTATTGCAGATGTGCATACTTTACCTCCAGAACAGGACTAACTTACTTAAGGGTATCTTAAACTTGCTGTAGTCCTGCCGGCCCAGTGTACCCTCACGGAAATGATTTGAAATTTCTGTCTTAGAAATCACAGCAACAGCACTATCACATTTTAAAGAGTGTTGGAAGAATCCATTCATTAATATTTGTTCAGCACTTCAGAAATTTAAAGTCCTAAGCATTGCAGTGGATGGCAACTTAATAAAGATAATTAACCAACCACTTCTAACTTGAAACTGTGTAAGTATGGACATGTTTTACTTCTGAATATTTTATTCTTTCTTCCTTCTATTGGCTTAACTGAAAGTTCTGATGACTCAATTTGAGTGAAAGAAAAAGAGACATTTTCAGTTTGAGTAAGAATTACCTTACCGCTTAGTACTATCATTTTCTCAGTACACAAAATATTTTTTTCAGTTCAACATGCCATTTTTTATGCCCCGAGTAGAAAGACTGTTAAAGGTAAACACCTGAGCTAATCCTCTAGCTCAAGAAACTATTTGATCACGGGTTATGCTTTGCATTTGAGCCGGGATCTTCTTTAATAAGACAACCAACCCCTCCCTACAGTAGAAAACAACTACTCATTTCTGTTTAAACTCAGTTAAATCCTCCATTATGTGTCCTATTAATAATTATATTTGCTTTTGTAGTGAGTTCTGTCTCCTGATCTTTGAGCTCATACCAGTTGTGAGCCTTTCCAAATAAATAACATTCAAGTTCCATTCCTCAAAGACCTGCTGACAGAGACCATTTCCCTCCATTTCTCTAACATTCTAGAACCCACATATACAAATGAGAATATAAATTTATTTTTATCTAAAAATTAGAATGGAGTAACAATTAGGAGCCATGAAAACTCACAAAATGTTTAAATGCACTTACTGATTTTTTTTTTTATTCTGGCAAGATGTGATGTGTAAACCATAAATAATTCTTAGCTTAAACTACATTAAAGACAGGAAAGCAGAAAACAAATGAAACAATAACTTCAATTCAATAATAAAAAACAGAGAAAAACCATTAGGAATAAAGGATTTTTTTTTTAAATAAAAAGTTATTGTTTCATTTACTTTGCTGAATATTGGGTATAATGCTGTCATTGCTCTGACATTACTCTTAAGGGAGAGTTCATTCCATCTCTGCCTCCTCACTGTTTAATGCAATGCCTGCAACAATGAAAGCACTCAATAAATATTTAACAATAAGGGAGAGAAGGAGAGAATGAATGAATGAATGGAGAAATGGCCAATGTACCAGTGCTCAGTTTACAGATGTATCTGAAACAAAGATCTAGGAGACAAAGAATCAGAAAGCAAACATTTTTAACCGGGATTCCTTGAAACTCATCATTCACAAGTCAGTATTTGAGATGGGGCTCAGTTGAAGAAGTTATTATGGAAGAGTGGAAAAGACAGAACTTGGGTATTTGGATGGCTCTAGGTAGATTCTTAGGTTAAAATGGGTGAACTATTGCCAATAGTTTGGCAATAGTTTTTCAACTTTTGTTTCAAATAACTTCTAATATTATTTCACAAATGTCATTCAGTCCTATATTTATGTCTGTAATATTAATATTTACAGATAAGAGATCATATTATTTCTCTAAAGTATTTTTAATTTTTTAAACCTAGGGGGAGAAACCACAGGGGAAGCTGATCTTCTTGCTGAAAGGGAACACATTTGGACTTCTTAGGGGGATCAGGGTCAAGAATATGCCCAGAAGTGTGTTTATTGAGGGCAATACAGAAAATCTTGGCATATGTTACCAATTTGGGAACAAGTACATGTATCTGCATTGACATCGGGAAATTTGTTAGACCCAGAGGCAAGATTCTAAATGATGTACAAACAAGGCAAAAATAAGAAAACCATATAAAAAGCACATCATTAGATTCAGTATAAAAATACTACCCCAACTAGTTTATACACAAAACACACCACCTTGTGGCATGAAAGATAAATGCTTTACTATGTTCTGCCACTTATGATGTCATCACTGTGATTACACGAAGAAGAAACTTCTTAGCTCCAGATGGTCACCATCCCTTCTCTCTGGTAGCCTCAGTATTAATAAATAAGTATAATTTTTGTTCAATTCCATTGTATAAAAACGCATTGCCTTTTTTCATTGATACGCGTGAATGAGCACACTGTTTTATCATAAGATATCATACTGTCTTCAGTCTTCATTAATGTGTTTTTCTATATGATTTATTCTTTTAGTACAGTAGTCACAAGCTTTGCCTAAATAACCAGAATAGACTTTTAGAAATCTCATTTCTATTCATTTCTAAGAGGAGTCAGAAATGTTTTTTAATGAGTATTAAAGTTTTCTGGCATTCAAACAAAGATACTGCTTTACTTTCTACCTGTATGCCGCTAGGTACCCATTAATTAATGTGGAAAGAGAAGAGTGGATAATGATTGTTTGCTAACATTCATATGCTAAATAACTGTCTCAAGCCTAACTATTCCCAAGACACTACATAATTTAGAAACCATGTGGTTCAACGCCTTCATTTTTAAAATTAGGAAATCGAGGACTACAAAGGTTAATTCAATCACCTAAAGTTACACTATCAGTTAGTGGCTGACCATAGACCAAATCCCAGGCTTTCTATACCTCCTAGCGCAGTTTCTACTACATGACACAATGCTGCATAGGAGTAGAGTGACTTTTAAATGGGCTTTCCAGACGGTAAAATTCATTACGCTTAGCAACTGTGCTACTTATTCAAAAGCTATCAATCCCTCATGATTTTTATATTTCATGTCTTAAAAGTGATGCTAAAGTTTCACTCTGATGAAAATAAAGCTATTTTATCCACTTCCTAAATATGATATTTTAAAAACATGCATTTTACTTTGAGATTTGCCTTGTTGTACGTGTATTTTTAAAATGAAGATAATGGAAACACTTCTGATTTTTCCATTAGCTATAAAAGCAATGTATTTGCTTCAAGATGAGAAAACAATGTAGGTATTTAATCTGTTGCACATATGAATTCTGCCAGATCCCTGGCTGGTCCACATTACACAAGTTCGATGACAGCTATCTTGCAATTTCTAATTGAGGGTGCATTAAGTAATTGTGCTAGAGCTATGTTCAGTGTGTATAGCAACGAAGAAGCCCAGATACTGGAGAGAAATATTTCACTGAAGCTGTTAATAGAATCCAAATTCCAGTTTGTAAGCCAGCCAGCTGCAACCCACTTGTGATAGACCATAAAAAAAAAAAAAAAAAAAAAAGGGGAATAGATGATACAAGTGATTTATTTGAGAAGGCAGAAATCTGCTGGTTAAAATTCACACTAGTTGATTTAAAATAACAACAAATACATCTTTGCTTTTGGACTATTATACTGAAATAAGAGCAGGCAACCTAAGTAAAAACTCTTCAGCATCCTAAAAATATGCAATGTTGAGCATATTTCATTTCCATCTTTTGAAAAGTTTTTTAAAAATGGAATTAGGATACCATTTGTATTATTTCCTTTGTTTAAAAAATGAGTATAAAAATCAGAAAAGATGTTTCTTATATGATTCATAGATGGCAAACAAAATGTTCTACATTCCCAGATGAGTCTTACAATAAAGTATTAATCAAGTGTGCTAGGTTTCTGTTTTTAACAATTACAGTTAAAAACTGTAATTGTCAGTGAGGAAAAAAAAGATCATGTTAAGTATCTTTCTTACTGAAGTTGGCTTCGACTAGCCTATGTCATTATTAACTCGTTATTTTTATTTTTTAGCTGTAGACAATTTAAAGCAGAGATTTTCAAACTATAGATTTTTGACCTGTTTATTAAGGTCCTAACCAGAATTCTAAAAATAATATAGACATAGCAGCAAAGGTACATTATACAGAGTGAAGATAACTACTTTGAGTCTTGAGATAAAGTGTGTTTCTTACTGTGACTTATGGCTAAAAGCTTGAAAAACAATGATCTGGAGTAAAACAGTTGTGAAAATCATTGCTAGTTTTCTTCAACATTTTGTGCATGATTCTCTTCTTTGGTTTCTTTCTTGGTAATCCTTAGCTCTTTTGTCACTAATCATCACATCCTGGAATTTATTTTCCACACTGAAAGCTTTAGAGATGGAAGAAATACGTATACAAAGAGATAACAAAGAAACAGGTAGCTAAACCTCCCTCGAAATCAACTTTAGTAAATAACTAGGAGTCAAGACATCTAAATATCATTTCTGTAATTGTCATGACACCTGTTGTGATTTATATCCCTAGTATATTAGGGGTGAATAATTATCTCTGCTGCTAAATTACTTTCTGTGACCCATTGAAAATTAGTATTAGCAGACTAATAACATTGTAGGCTGCTCTGAGCAAGATGTTGGGTAATAATACATGGATGGAGAGAGATTTGCTAAAATAGCAATTGAAGGCCTCTATTAATTCCTGTCTTTGAATGTTTTCTTTA